TACATGAAAATGTATCCTTCACAGGATAGCATTATCTGCATTTATTGGGATGGATTGTAGCCCACAAAAATATAAGCTAAATAAATCTGCTTTTAAGTTGCCACAAGATTCAGAGTTGTTTGTCTAGGAAGAGAAGTTAGCATTGTTATCTAAATATATTAAATAATGGTGGATTAATCTAGCTAGAAATTAGAATTATCAGTTATTGGCTCACAGCAGAGATGGGATTCACTTACTTTTCCTACCGGTTCACAAATGTGAGCGTGCACAGCCTTCCACACATGCTCTTTGCTTGCACATTACATCTGGGCGGGTGGGCAGAGCCTCCCGCAGTCTCCACTACCAGTTCACCAGAACCTGACAGAACCAGCTGAATCCCACCATTGGCTCACAGTTTTATGCACCATGTAACTTGAGTTCTTGGTGAGAGGCTTGCGTGGTTAATTTTAAGGGTGTGGCTTCACTAATTGTAAAATGTTTTTATGTATTTTTCTTTCTGTTATTATTCTAGCTTCCAGTGCCTAGATTCATTCCAATTCTGACTGTTCCTTCTTCTATTATGGTTTTCTGTTATACCATAATGTTATACTGTAACTTTTCAATATTGATTTATCTTAATATCTGATTTTTGCAATGTAGAACATAGGGAACTACTTTTAAAAACGGGCAAAAAACTACAATGTGGGACTGCTAATAGGAAGTGAGCAGTAAATATGCATTGAATCAGTACTTGATCATCCTCCAGATAATTTCAAGCCTGTATTAAAGTATTGTGTTTTTTTTTTTTTTACTTTTCACAGTTTGGAGACTTGCAGCCTGTCATGAGGTCACCTTCCAAAGCTATTTTCAGAACAATCTATGGATTTCTTTGACCATAGATATGTCCTTTGAAATAACTTGTCTCTGGTTATTTTGATGATTTTCCAGTACTAGACATTGACCTTTTTGGTTTACCCATATTGTTTAATCTTCTGTTTAATTTCATGTCTGTAGATTTTTATTCCTTTGGTTTGCATTTTTAATTGATTTATCCTGCAATCAATGCCATCTTGTCCTTTCATACGCTTTTCTTTGATTTTCTGGCATATTTATTTGCTGCCCTTTTATTGATATAGACTATAATCACAGACAATGCTTACCATGGTTAACTTAACCATGATTAACCCAAAGTAATTGGCTCAATTGGCATAACATAAAGATCCATAAACTAACCACAAAGGTTGTGTTTCAACAGTATTACAGTAAATTAAAATGCAATTGGATAGTGTTTCCCATGTGCAAAGCTTTTCTACTTTCAGTAGTTCTTATCAAGGAAGCTCCTCTAAAAATTTTGTTTCGGGGTATAAATGCTACAGACTCAGAAGACTGACAAGTAACAGTTATGAAGCACTGTATAACATGGAAGACTGTCAAACTACAATTTTTCACTAGCCCAACACTAGCAGTTAACATGAGGGAAAGTATGAAATGTGGCTACAGAAGGAATAGTGAACAATTCTAAGGACTGTGTTATATGCAACTATTCAAGCTGTAATACATTACAGGTACATTAATTTAGGAATAATCCCTATTGTTTTAGTGGATTCAGATCTACAGGATTGCACTTCATAGCTAAAACAACCTTATACAGTGTTTTCTTTTCTGAAATGTAATTTGATCCATTTCTTCATGTGTTTTTAAAGCCACCAACTAGTGCCATATACATAGTTTGTCAATGTATTAATAGAAATACATTTTAATACGTAAGCTGTGCTTGCTAAAGGTCCTTCCAAATTTCAAAGGAACATGATACAATACATGATTCATTATTTATTGTACATATACAGTAAACCTTAATTTACTCCCCAGCTCCTGTATTTTATTCCATTGATTCCTTTTCTGTATTCTACTTTCACACACACATTCCACATAGAACCAGCATATTAGCTTTCAATAGCACAGCTGGAAAATACCTAGTGATCTCAGGCGAATTAGAAATTAATCTTTTGGGAAATCCTTTATTTTGAAATAATAGTTTTTTATTCGTTCTTTCAGCTCCAACACAACTGCCTCTTCACATAATCACATTTACTAATAATTTATGAATGGCACACTGTAAAGCTTAATTTAGTCGGGATCAGGGGTGAAATCCAGCAGGTTCTAAAAGGTTCTGGAGAACCGGTAGCAGAAATTTTGACTAGGTTGGAGAACCGGCAAATACCATCTCTGACTCGCCCCCAAGTGGGGTGGGAATGGAGATTTTGAAATATCCTTTCCCTGTTATGCCCACCAAGCCACACCCACAGAACTGGTAGGGAAAAATTTTGAATTTCACCCCTGCCGGGATGTTGTTCAATGCATTTTAAAATGACTTTCATTAGAATAGTTTTGCTTTTCTTGCAACTGTGCTATCAAATACACAGTGAACATGAATTTATATGAACCAAACTGATTAGAAGAGGCCTATATCAGGTTCATTCAGTTCCTGACTAAAGAAGACCTTTTTCTTAAGGAAACAAGCAAATAATTTTGGGGAATTTAACACAGTAAATGCACTTTTGCAGGTGAAGTATGATACTAGTTTGCAAAATGCTTATATGTAATAGTCTGTTTTTAGAACATTATCTGGATGATGTTTTATGATTTTTGCAGCTGAGATGTTTTGATGATGCTTTTACTGTTGTGAGCCATTCAGAATATTGGTAGGTGGGTGGCATAAAGATAGTCAAATAAATTAAACAGATGTCTTATTATTTTATGTGCCAGAAGTCTGTCATTTTTGCTGCAAAAGGCTACTGCAATTTCCTTTAGAAATAATTTTTAATAGTCCCAGGTCTCTGAACTGATACTAGCTTTCACAGTAAGTTTTATGGGGTCAGGGTTTGTTTATTTCATGACAGAGTTCTGAGACTCAAGTTTTTTTTGTAATATATCTATTAAATTAACGAATGTACCAGTCAGTATTAGATGTGTACTGCAATGATCATGACAACTTCAGGTACACTACCATAGAAAAAGGACAGGCAAGAAGAACTTATCTCTTCCTTCTCTGCACAATGTTGTGCAATGTTGTGTTGTAAAACAAGTAATCAGTTACTTCTTTAAGCTTTTCACCCCTCAGATGATGAGCTTGAATAACTGACTGCTAGTATTTCCTTCATCCCCCCTTCTTCCTATAGGAAGGCATAGTTAAGAGTTCTTTCCTTTTAAAACATCTATCTTGCTTGTGGACCTTAATTCTGACTGAATTAGCCTTAGCCAGCAAAAGGAAGGTGCTTTTTAAAGAAGCAGCTACCATTTATTCTCTGCATGTCTGCCTTGGGAAGTGATGCAAATTTTTAAACTAGTCTAAGCCTAATATCTAATCCACAGCCTATAATATTTTATTTCAAATGGGCTGGTCCCACCACTTTATCTTTCTTCCATTACTATGTTAAAATTTCATTGGGCCAGGCTGGATGCATGACTTTCTGTAGTCCTATTGGGGCATTATAAAAAATATCCCTCTTTATCAGTGTGTATACTGTTGCGGATGTTCTGTGGAATCTCTGAGCCATATGGTCCTCTGTTGCTCTCTTGTCGGGAATGTCAGATTACATTAATCTATTCCATTCTGAAGAAACACTCAGGCAGAGAGTACAATTTGGATTCTGATGTATCTTCCCAAATTCTGTGCCTCAATTTATTTTAATTGACTTGGCATTGGAGGGACATATTAATTCTATGATTGCTCATATTCTCTCTTATTTTTATACCATTTTATTGTATGTTAGTCCTACTTTGTATTACATCTATAGACTTTAGGAATGGGCAAGTGTATTTGATAAAATATTTAATATTTAATGCATATCATATCTTCTGGCTGCAACGTTTGTAATAAAGTCAAAGGTCCAGTACCTCCACCAACTTCTCAGCAAAAGGATCATCTGACAGCTGTGCTCCAGACAGGGATTTCAGCAGGTTCTGACCAGTTCTGGAGAACCAGTAGCGGAAATTTTGAGTAGTTCGGAGAACCAGTAGTAAAAATTCTGACTGGCTTGCTCGTCATCTACTCTCTGCCGAGTCCCAGCTGATTGGGAGGAAGTGGGAATTTTACAGTAATCTTCCCCTGCCATGTCCACCAAGCCACGCCCATCAAGCCATGCCACACCCACAAAGCCACACTCACAGAACCAGTAGTAAAAAATTTTGAAACCTACCACTGCAGTGCTCCCCTCACATGGCAAGGCTGGGGCAAGTAAGCCAAACATCTGTGAAGGCCTCCTTATCCTGGTCTTCAGGTCAAGACCAGATCTCTGATCTCTGCTACTCTAAGACAGGAAAAAGTTAACCAAGACTGCAAGTTATTGCTAAATCACCTCTATTGCTTGGGAGTCAGCTTTCACGCATACACCAAAAATTCGTGTGAAATATTAGTGTAGCCATGGTGTTGCATTAAACCACCTTTATGATGGTTTAAGAGCAAACAAGCACTGGAATCAATAGCTGAGGTAAATATGCTTATTGATTGAATTAATTTATTTGTATCCCGCTTTTATTATTTCACAAACAACTCCAGGCAGTGAACTTATTCACTCTTTTTCAACAGCAGCAGCCCCGTGAGGTGAGTTGGGGTTGTGAGATTGGCTCAAAATCATCCAGCTGGCTTTCATGGATAAGGCGGAACTTGAACTCATGGCCTTCCACTTAACTAGCCTGGTATCTTAACTAGACTAGAGCATACAGGCTCGGGTATGTGCTCGGGTCTTTCTAACGTCTTCCTCAGTTTTCGGAAAATTGAACAAGCGTGCCTGCCCAACTGGAAAGGGGTGTAGCGGATCACGTCCACACCCACGCCACCAGCCAGGTTTCCTCTTTTCCGTAGGAAGCCCCCGCCTCTTCATGTCCCCGTGACAGCCGCTCGCCTAGTTTCTAGGGCTATCCTCGGCATCGCTGGAGGGAGGCACCCGAGCGTGCGGCTCCTTTAAAGTCTGGGCTAAGCTGCCAGTTAGCCCTGCCTCTGCCCGCTTGAGCTTCCCAGCTGGGACCTGGGCAAGGAGGCGCTGTGCGCTGGTCCTTTTCCGTCACCTTCTGCCGGTGCGGAGTGACCGAGTGAGCTGCTGCGGGGTATGCAAAGAGAGGCAGTTCAGTTCAGCCTGAAAGGGCGTCGATCCTGCAGCGTGCGCCAAGGGACTCCGCTCTGGTGGGGAACCTTTGTCTGAGCCGGCGGGGTTGATTCCTGCCCTCTTTCAGACTTCGGTAGCCCTCGTGGTACAACTACTGTCCATTTGGGCATCCGTGGGCGATTGTTTTTCCAACTCGGTCTCCCCCCAGCCCACCTTTGGGAAGGAGAGGTGGAATTCAGCGATCAGATCTTGCAAAAAGATAGCCGGCTAATTTCCAAGTGCTGGGACCCTGGTGCTGCAGGGGAGATTCAGAGAGAATAAACTCCCCTGTCTGCCTTTCAGAGGAGAGGTAAGTGATGTCAAGTTGGAGCTTTGGCTGATTTTATGTGGGGATTTTTAAATCTTGGGAAAGGGAGAACGGTAGAAGGTACGGGAGTCTTTCAGACTGTGGATCTGCGTAGTTTTGCTGGTAGTGTAAAAAGCCAATTCCCTCTTAGAAAGCTGCAGTTGCAAGAGTTCATTTGAGCGGTTGCTGTCTTTACAATATTTTGCACTGAGCTTCCCTGCATCCATTCTTAGGATTTTTTTTTTATTTTTTATTTTTTGCAGGATTCAGACATTCAACATCATCTTCCACTTGTTACTGTCCTGTATTTATAGGGGGGCTTCTGCTCTCTCGTTCCTTTTCTCCAAAAGAAAAATCTATTAAGAGGGGAACAGACAGAATATTGTACCTGCCTTTTCCTTTTCACTCTAGGAATTCAGTATGTAGAAGCGAAATAATCTTCTCCCCTTCCCCCTCCCTTTCAAGATGAACTTCTAGCTTAGCTAAAGCTTTTTCTTTTGCTCAGTTCCTTGCAGTGTTCACTGTAGTAAAGTAGAGCATCTTTCTGAAGGAACTTGGTGCACTGAACATTTATGTGTTGGAGGAGGGATGCCAGTTAGTTTATAAGTGGAAAATGAAAGCAATTGGAATTGTGAAGGGGGATAAAGTCAACTGGAGGGCAGCACCCCACCCACCCACCCACCCACCCCCGCATCCAATGTGGGTGAGAATTCCTCAGTCTTCATTTTAGAAGAGTCCTTGCAGGAGTCTCTCTTATCATATTGGAAACAATTTGATTCCCTTGCAGTCCACATAAAGGGTGATAGCTCAGTCTTGGACACAGCAAACAAATAACATGCCAATGTGGCAGCTGGATGGAAATTTTAACATGCAGAGACACTGTGCAGTTGATGTGGCAGAGTGAAGGAATTCTACCTGTTTTATGAAAAGAACAGTAGAAATTGCACTGGACACTGCAATGGCTGTGTTAGCCAGTTGCAAATGTTTACTAACTTTTGGGTATCAGTGAAGGTATAACAAACCTAGCAGTTTTCATATAACTTTTGTCTAATATGAATGCAGAATAAATCATAGATGCTAGTATGCATAGGATATGTAACTAGCATTAGAAATACTGCTCAGTGGAATGAAATTATGTGCAATATTATGTGTGTATTGCATATGTGCAGTATCTATTGAACAGTCATTATATGTCACAATTAGAAGTTGCATCTTTACAAAACCTAAATGCAAATCATTTTTTCTCAATACCTTGAGGTATTCTGGGTTTTATTTGTCATTCCCCCCCCCCTTCTTTCTATATGGCATTTAACAGATTCTGTGATAGGTATGTCTACATATGGCGTTGGAAGCAGTAAGACTGCAACAGCAGTTCTAGGTTGTGGGCTTGTAGCAGTATATATAAATTGATGCAGAATTTATTTTATTTATTAAATTTGTACATTGCATTTCAAAATAGATAGCTGTCTTTCATAAGGTGGCTGGATTAAAAAAAATATACATAGTTATTCCAAGACTTCAAATCTGATAGTTGCAGCTCCAAATATTATGTTGCATACTACATGTTATTTACATTGGGTAATAGTAGCAGAGTTTCATTACTCTACTCAAAAGATGTTTTCTCTTTACTCAGTGTAAAAGGAGTTTGAAGGAAATCAGTTCAGAGTAGGGCTGACAGCCGTGTTCATCTAAATAAATTATTTTTCTCTTTAGAGATGAAATTAATGTTTTGCTACTGTTATCTAAGGTACTGCTTTATTGTAGATACATGTATATAAACAGCTGGAAATGTTGTGTCAATGTGTCAACACTCATTCACTTATGGAAATGCATTCAACATGGGTTTTCATTAAAACTGCATTAAACCCAGCTATTTATCATATGGGCTGTTCAGTATATTGGATCATAACAAATAAAACACACAAGAGTTCTTTACATTTAAGTTTCTTTGTAGTTCAAGCACTTGATAACTTTGGCAGAGCTGATGTCTGTTCTTGCTATTACTACAAAATTGACTTTGCAGCTGGTAGAACAGAATAAAACACATTGGTACTTCAGAATGAAATTTTAAATAACAGCTATTTTAAGAAAAAAATTCCTTGTGTCCTGACTATGGTAGCATCTCATATTTATTAGGGATAGGACAAGTTAGCAAAATGCCTTCTGTCTTGGCAAACAGCAGTAAATGTGTTTATTATATTTGTGTGCCACTAGGCTCAGAAAACATGTTCTCACATCCAGCATAGCATGCATTTACTAATAGTATAAAGATTGTGAAACAAAATTTATTTTACACATTCATAAAGAGTTGCTATTTCTCCTTGTTTCTAAGAAAGAACTCAACACAATAAACTTTTTTCCATTCTGATTTTCTCTTGCTGCCAGAGAATTCAACCCTGAAGTTTGCATTGGCTTTCAGAGTTCAAAAAGTTGAATCTCTGAAATGAAGTTACTGGCTATTACATGATTTTATTTCTGTAACATCTGACAGTTCCAACTGGAAGAGTCCTTTCTCAATGCATTTCCAAATATTATTAGGAAAAGAGATAATTCTTATTTGGAAAAAAAAAAGTCATTAAGTAGATGAAACAGAAGGAGTGAGAGTGAATAAAATAAATGTTCTAAATAAGATAAACTAGAAATCACTTCTTTTCATCTGTTGCCTTCAATTTTATTTTTAAAAAATTGGACATGGACATGAAGTGGTATCATACGAGGTCACATGCTGATTTTCAGGAACACAATAGCCTCAAGTTAATGCTTCCCAAGATACTCAGTGCATTTTAAGATTGCTAAACTGCCACCATTTATACTCAACTCTTTTCTTTGCTTCCAGAGGAAAACTAAGATACTGTGAATTTAAGTACTGTAAAATAGCATGTGGTTCTCTGGTTTAGAATTATTTTGCTTATTCATAATAGTTAGCTAATTGTTTTTCTACAGCAAAACACTCAAGAAAATATACAGTTTAATTCTGGGTGCTTCCAGGTAATGAAACAATACTAATAAAATGGAAATCCAATGGCACAAATCCTAAAAGATATTAGGAACTTAAAGAAAAAAAATAAACTTATTCCAATTCTCAATAATAATAAAGGAGATATTATTTCAAAAATATTTTAAATAGACTTGAAAAACCAACATTCTTGATTGAATAAATTCTAATCAGCAATATATATAACCCAGTCGTGGGTTGTTCCCGATTCTGTCTGGTTCTATAAAACCAGTAGTAAAACCGGTAGGAGGCTCCACCCACCTGCCACGATGTTATCATGGGTGATCTGCACATGTGCAGAAGCGCACGCGCTCCTGCTGCAAACTGGTAGTAAAGGTAAGTAGAACCCACCCCTGATATAACCTGCTTTTTTTTTCATTTGCCCAAAGTAATATTCTTTCCTTCTATTTATGCTCAGAACTGCAACACTCTGTTAGGCTGGACTAAGAGAGGATGATTGGTCCAAGGTCATTTAGTAAGCTATTGTGGCCAGTGAACGTTTGCTGTTTGAGTCCAACTGGTGCAGTGATGAAATCCATTTTTTTTTACTACCAGTTCTGTGGGCGCAGCTTGGTGGACGTGGTGTGGTGTGGTGTGGCTTGGTGGGCAGGGCAGGGGAAGGATATTACAAAATCTCCATTCCCACCCCATTCTGGGGCCAGCCAGAGGTGGTATTTGCCAGTTCTCCAAAATGCTCAAAATTTTCGCTACCAGTTCTCCAGAACCTGTCAGAACCTGCTGGATTTCACACCTGAATTGGTGGCTTTAAGATTTTTATTTAGACATCCAAGCATTCAGAAATGTTATTTATTTATTTTTGTTATTTTGGAAAGAACACAGAGTGCTCTAAAAGTTTCAGATCTGGAGAATAAGTAGGAATAAAATATATTCAGACAGAGCAAAAATTAAATTATTTAGAAAGAATTCTAGACTTATATATATGTATCATCTGCCCATGAGAAACTTTATTTTCAATCTCTCTGTCCCCCTCCCTCTTCTGCCACAAAATGTCCTGCAATTTGAGATTGTACCATTGTATTGTATTTTCTCCAAATTATGAAAGCTAGTATTTCCTAGGTGTCAAGAAACTTTTTGGTATCTAAATGAGATATCTAACCAAGTTAGGTGTGGAGTTAACTTCCATATTTTATCATAATCATGGTTTTTCAATAACAACAAAAAAGTCTCCAACCTGATTTCAGTTTTGACACTAAGAGGTTCATATTCTGCTAAGCAAAGTTTTAAAACCTTGACTTGTTGAATAAATTGTAGTATTTTGCATCACATAGTATCAAAATTGATAGGTTTACCCACTGCACTAAGCCAAAGCATCAATGAACCCATGTTATGAATGACATGGAGTTTGATCCATCCTTTATGTCAATGCTCTCTATATACATTTGCTTTCCAGTTATCCAACCGTGTTATCAAGCCTCAAATGTTCAATAATGAAAATAAAAAACCTGAGTGACACCTTACATACTAATAAACAAATAACAAATGTCTTCTACTGAAGTTCCATTGAAGTGTGTGGAAACCACCTAAAGGCATAGTAGTAATTTTATAAATAAGCCATTTATTTCAACAGAGTAACACAGAAAAGAATTGCTTTGCTAACTGTAAACTCTGTCTGCTTCATGGAATGTGATTTATATATGTCTTAACAAATTAAATGCACCTCAATCCCATTGTACTAGGCTACAAGTTTCAATGAATACATTCATGCATATGGATATTTTAAATAGGAGTGAGTAGGGATCATACATTATGGTATGGGCAAGATATTTTAAATAGGAGTGAGTAGGGATCATATATTATGGTATGGGCAGGATAGTTGTCTTTGTTGCATTAGAAAAACTCCCATTGATGCTAAAAGTTAAATTCTGTTCATTCTGTGGTATAGTTCCAAAGCCAGCCTAATATGTTGCCTGTATGTTCTGTTTGACATACAGAAATCATTGGACTAGCAATTGAATTACTTTAACACTGATTAGACAGGTTCCTCTAA